AAATACTACTACTACTACTACTACTACTACTACTAATACAACTACTACTAACTACTACTACTATACTACTATACTACTACTACTAACTACTACTACTACTACTACAAATACTACTGCTACTTCTGCTACTGCTACTACTACTACTACTACTACTACTAACAATACAATACAACTACTACAAATACTACTACAAATACCACTACTACTACTAACAATACAAATACCACAAATACTACTACTACTACCTGCTACTACTAAAATAATAAATATAGCGATAGCATCTCCATGTAAACAAGTTTATGGCAGATCCCCTACCAGAAAAGTGACACAGTGCATCTTTAAAGCTCACAGAGACTCAGTGGGACGTTTATAACGGGACCAGGAGCTAACCACTCTGCCACAGCAGCGCAGGAGTCAAGAACCAGTCAGGAGTCAAATTTCATAACAATCTCGACTGTTGTTTAATTCGGCTGAAGTGATAACGTTCGATAAGCGTTTACAGGAATTCTTGGCAGGTACGATTGTCCAGGTGTGGCGCTGTGACATCACTTCCTGCCCCCTTCCTTATCTCTCCTCCTCGTATTTTTTATTTTTTTTCTCCTTTTCTTTTCTTTTTGTTTTTTTTCTTCGTTTCTTTTCGACGGGTGACTCAGCGCTGTGGGCTGCATGTTCTCTCCGAGTCCTGTGAGTCATTTTGTTCTTGACGAAGTGAGAGAACAAACTCCAGGAGGCAGCGGGCTCAGATCTGGACTTCATACACACAGGCGGGGACAGTCAGGAGAAAGCTCACGGGAGGGTTAAAATGGAAAAGGTCAGCGGAGGTAAAGGCATTTTTACAACGTGGGTTATAAAAGGCTTGTAAAGGATTCACTTGGAGATGTTTTAGGTGGTGAAAAGTATAAAAAATCTATAATAAAACTAGTATTGATACTTAAAAAGTCACATTTGCACGACAGAAATGCAGAGAAATTGAAAACACCCACTGACTTTTATGGCACCTGGACCTCAGATGGATTACGGGATTCACTTGGAGATGTTTTAGGTGGTGAAAAGTGTAAAAAATCTGTAATAAAACTAGTATTGATACTAATAAAGTCACATTTGCATGACAGAAATGCCATAGAAATTGAAAACACCCACTGACTTTTATGGCACCTGGACCTCAGACGGATTACGGGATTCACTTGGAGATGTTTTAGGTGGTGAAAAGTGTAAAAAATCTGTAATAAAACTAGTATTGATACTAATAAAGTCACATTTGCATGACAGAAATGCCATAGAAATTGAAAACACCCACTGACTTTTATGGCACCTGGACCTCAGATGGATTACGGGATTCACTTGGAGATGTTTTAGGTGGTGAAAAGTGTAAAAAATCTGTAATAAAACTAGTATTGATACTAAAAATGTCACATTTGCACAACAGAAATGCAGAGAAATTGAAAACACTCATTGACTTTTATGGAGCCTGGACCTCAGATGGATTACAGGCTTCACTTGGAGATGTTGTAGGGTGGTCAAAAGTATAAAAAATATGAAACTATTTACTCATTTGAGCAGGTATCGATTCAAAAAAAAGGTCACATTCAGAGTATAAAAATGACTTGAAAACACCCATTGACTTCTATGGAGCATATCTGGACGATTGTGGGATTACAGGCTTCACTTGGAGATGTTTTAGGGTGGTCAAAAGTATAAAAAATCTGTAATAAAACTAGTATCAAAACTAGACACTCATTTGAGCAGGTATCGATTCTAAAAAGGTCACATTCACAGGACAGAAATGCATAGAAACTGAAAACACCCATTGACTTCTGTGGAACCTGGACCATAGAGGGATTACAGCTTCACTTTGAGATGTTGTAAGGTGGTTAAAAGTATAAAAAAAAATATGAAACTAAGCTGTAATAAAGCTAGAATCGAAACTAGATACTTATTTGAGCAGGTATCGATACTAAAAAGTCACTTTCACGGGACAGAAATGCATAGAAATTGAAAACACCCATTGACTTC